TTCGTAAGCAAAAAAGAATTTGAAATTATATTTAAAAATTTTAATAAATAACATTTTATGTTAGCACTTAATACAATACATATGATAAACAATAATTTTCAATGAACACTTACTCCAGAAAAGAGGGATATAATGATCTTTTCTACTCAATCAGCACTTAATACAAAATGTTTGGCAAATAAAAAAATCAAATCAATACTTACTCCAGTCAAACCTCTTACCCGAATTAGCACTTAACAAAAAAATGATAAACAACCCCTAAATTGTTATCTTGATTGAATCTGGATTATCACAAATAAACACCCCCATGTGAAATTGAGACAAAAACCATGAAATATGAAACAAAATTATTATTCGATATCTTTCTTATACGTTAAATTTTTTATATTAAATTGCAATAAACTTAGTAAACAAATAATATATATATATATATATATATATACTTGGGATCATGTGAGACCAGCCTGTTTTCGTGAGACCCGTGAGACCAGCATTTTTACACGTAAACTTCACAGCAAAAATGCTGTGAAGGTGACTTTTTAAAACCTTCACAGTGTTTTTGCTGTAAAGGTTCGACTTTTTTTAAACCTTCACAGTGTTTTTGCTGTGAAGTTTACGTGTAAAATGCTGGTCTCACAGGTCTCACGAAAACAGGCTGGTCTCACGTGAACCCAACCCTATATATATATATATATATATATTTGAGATCATGTGAGACGAAAAGTTTTTCGTGAGACCCGTAAGACCAGTTCTCAACCCTTGGATTAGATATACAATCCAAACATTCATAATTACAAAATTGTCACGAGATTTCTCAATAATCACAAAATTGTCACCGTGCAACTTTAGATCATTAGCTTATAAAGTTGATCAATGAACATAAATTGGTCTTACGGGTCTCACGAAAAACCCTTGATCTCACGTGAATCCAACCCTGGATGTACATTAGCTTATATATATAAAAGGTTGGGTTCCAGTGAGAAAGAGAGTTACGGTGAGAAGCGTAAGAAAAAATATCTATCCCTGGATGTACATTAGGATGAGATGCACCGAGATGAGATGCACAAGATCAATCTCCGTACAAGCTCGATTCATGAGTGGATTTGAGATTAAAGGTGATTAAGGGTCTAGATCCGTTCTTACGGTTCTAAGTGCGAGATCAATGGCAGGGGTCAACGGCAGCGATGACGGTGATAGAGTTGACGACAATGGGGCTGCGAGGGTGGCGAGAGGGAACAATAGTGTTGGGTTCGAGTGATTAGAATGGTGTAGAGTTTAGGCACGGTAAAACTGATTTAGGCTTTTTTAACTCTAAAACCCTTCCTATCAGACTATAGGTTGTCTTTTGGGTTAAAAAACTTTAGGTAACCAATTTCTAAAAGTTTGATAATTTATATATTAAAAATATTTTAGTCCCTTAATCATTAAAAAAAAATAGTAATTTTTTTATTAAAAAAATTCAAATACTTAATATTTTAGCTGTGGGGAAAATAGGACCCGTGGGAACAGCATCTTTTTGTTGTAGTAGACGGCACAGTTGACCCAACAACACAAATCCAAGCTTCTCACTATCATCATTAATTTATTTTGTCTAAAGTTTTCTATTTAATATATATATATATATATATATATATATTAGTAGTGTATCCGCGCAATACGGCGGGAGACATGAATTTTAACGATTTTGAAGTTCCATTAGTTTTATAAGATAAGATTTAACGATGATATAAGTCACACATGGTCTTTACATATTAATACAATTTGAATAAATAAGAGTTATGGTTCCAATTACAGACTATCGATGAAAAAAATTGTATGACAATTTAAAATCCAATATATTTAAAATCCAACATATTTAAACGACTTCACAAATATGTTCGATTTACACCAAGAACAAAGAACCAAAAAACTTGAGTTTTAAGATAAACAC